ATGTGAACATATAAAAATATTTCAGTATTGCACTCAAAAATGTATAATAACCTCACAGTGCTTACCTTAATTGCGTTTATCATATGAGTATACGAATGTCAACAAAATATTTTAAATTTTGATATTGCTATAATTGATGGATTACCTTTTGGCTTGTCGGGATAGCATAAAATTCCCAAAATGAGTGAAAATTATACTTTAAAAAACAACAACAACAGCAGCAATAAAAATTGATACAATTTACATCTTCATTTTTGTTTCAGGAACAATCAAAAGATCGTAAAGTATCATCTGTATCTGGACAACAACCAGCGATGAAATCAAAACACCAAGGTGAATCTAACCATTTACAGGTTAAAAGGCAAGGTAAATATTTGCATTTAAATGAAAAAAACACTACAAGATGGATCAATGCCAGGAAGTCCTTTAACGATATCAGATACCAATGAAATCTAACCTTCTTTTGAAGGAAATGATGCTAGGCAAATTCAAGAGGAGTCACTTTCTCAAGAAAGCAAACCTTTGTCTCGACGCACTTCACTAAATTCAAAGTCTTCAGACCATTCTAAAGGAGAGTTTTGGTGAAATTTATGGAGAAAGCCAAACATTACCTCGCCGTGAATCAGTTAACTCGAATTCTTTTAAAGATCCTAGGATGCATCGGCGTTCCTCTTTGTCAATATTACCGCAACAAAAGTTAGAACCGAACGTGGAAGAATTAACAATAGGATATGAAAGTGACTCGTCTGATGTTCTGACCTTAAAAGAAGCAAACATAATAAAGTCGTCGCAAAAGCTACCAACCGAAAATCATTTGTTCCGAGATCGTTCAAAACAAATCGCCAATCACACGCCAGGTTCTAGAAAATTCAATAACTGGGTCCGAAAAAAATGAAAAACTATGGGGAAGGAGAAAACTATCTATTCACAACTTAATGGATTTTTCTTTGATGATTGCCAATATTGCCCAGCTTAAAGCTGTCTTATCAGATAAAATTAACTTATACAGAACCTTTATACTTATTTGTATAATTATATCTATGAGTTTTCAGGTCATCTTCGAGGTTTGTATGATAAGACGTCAAAACCTCAACAATGAAATCAAGAAAGCTTTTGACGATGATTAAATGAGCGAAGAAAAATTCGAGCCAATAAAGAAAAGTAGGAGAGTAAAAAAAGTACTAGATGAGATAGGAACTATCTTGTCCTATTCATTCTTGTTGCCAATAGCCTTATAACTGGATTTGACTTTGTATTAGGGGATGGATAATCTCGTAATGTCAAAATGATATGTAGTTGTTTCACATCGATTTCTTCATTTTGTGCACACAAAAGAGTAAATGACATAATTACTGATGTTATTTTTTGAAAAGAATAATTCTAATCCATGACGTTAAATGTAATTTTTATGAAAATATTGAAAGGGAATATCTAATTCAAGAACAGTAAATAAGGCACATGATTTGCTTTATTTTCGTAGGAACGTATTTTTAAGGTGTAGATAAACTTTACTGTTTGTAGTTTGGAGAATATAATCTTACTAATATGCACAATTCTATACATGTCATAGTAACATGTTTAAAAATATGCTTGTTCTGAGAACCTTTGGCGACGTATTTGGAACGTTTAAACATTTTAAGGTAAATAGACATAAAAGATGTAAACATTATAAATGTGTAATACGGTACAGGAAAGTATATGGACAAGAGAAATTTGACCACTCAGTCTGGAAAATGCTTCAATAACATGATGTTTTATTTAGTTCGATTAAAAACCATATGATTTTTAGCATACAGTTAATCTACTTAAAGAAAAAAATACAATTTATTATCCATACTTACAAAGCCTAGTTTTCATCAGCGGCATTTTGTCTTTTTTTATCTTTAACATGTATATATGTGTTTAATGTTTTTGGTATCTGACGTCGTGTTGTTGATTCTTTACAAACATACGACATTTAAATGAGTATACGAAAAAAACCTATGTGGACAATCACAATTAAATCGAGCCCGCTAAAGCCTCACTTTATATGTTAAACATTTTTTGTCTAAATCAGTATCTGATGTACACAGCAAATTTAAAGATAATGCAATATGCAGAACTTATAAACATATACCAGATAGTATAAAACATGCATTATGAACAACAGCGTATAAACAACGTCATTTCCCTATTAAACTACATGTACAATACTTCTGCACAGCAGTCCGATAAATAAAGATACCTACAAATGAATTAAGTTTCCTTTTTCTTATAAAAGTAATACGATATATTGACATTTTTCCAAGAATCGAATGTTTTTGTAGTAACTTATACAACATGACATACATATAGATAATGAAATAGACAATAATTAAAAGAACAGAAATTGTGTTATCATTACAGCGAAACGATCAATGTACTTTCGTTAAGTACTTTTCGAGTCACAGACAGGTGATCCAAATATTTCAAAATGTATGCGCTAATAAAAAGATAAGATATATTAATTCAAAGTATCAGTACTTTAACATCATTGCCAATTATGTTTTATTCCCTGCGGTCTGGAGACCGCAGGGTATTGGTACACGTTTAACTTTATAGGCATGGAGGAGCACGTGACCTGTTTTCGGTACATGGAGGAGCATGTGATCTGTAAACCGTATATGATTGGTTAATTGACCTTTTCGAAAACCCAGCTAAATACTGTTAGCCGGTACGTTACGGATTCACCTGTAGGGAATTAGTCCGATTATACCTAATTGAGAACAAAAACCTATTACGTGATATTTCTAATTTTCTATAATTATTTTACCGTTTAAGGTGGAAAAACTTGAATGATGTATTTGAAAATTATCATTGTTTCTTTAATATCTATCTCAAATTTTACAAACAATAAATTGTTAAACTGAAAATCTTCAAAATTAAAATATTCGTAGTGGCATCTGCCATAATAAATAGAGATATTTTCTGCGTAAACTTGTGTGTTTACTTAATTTATTATTTGCTCGGAATTATTCATAAAATGGAAGGCCTATTTTATCATTTTCTTAAAAAGAAATAATTGTTTTATGTTCTTCAACGTTCACCAGTTTCCAAATACCTTCTTCTATATTGATCGATTATTGTCAACTTTATTCCTGATACAAACGTTTATCCCCCCCCCCCCCAAAAAAAAGAAAAAAGTTAAATGAAATATCTTTATATCATTAAAATGTTCACCGCAGGAAACAATTTTACTTGTTACCTTATATTGTAGTTTAAAACGAATTTAAATATGACTTTTATGTGTATCCATAAATATATATTATTAGATGATTTAGCATAAATCTATTCACTAGAAAGATCTTTTTTTAAAGGTATCAAGTACAAAACTTGTTGTATTTTATCCATATACTTACAGTGTAAAGGGTTTATTTCAAGTTTCTTTCATAATCTTTAACGCAAACAAATTAGTAAATAATATAACTACACCTCGCTCGTTAAATCGATCTCGTTATAAGTGGAGTAGACTGTATATCAGGAAGAAAATTATTTCCTTTTTTTTGTATTATCCCTTGTATTGGTACGCATTCTTTTAACTTACATATATAATTTTATATAGCTTGTCTGTTGCTTATGCATCTGTTTTATTGTTTTATTTTAAATGTATGTATACACTTTTGCCGGAATATTTGAAAAAAAAAATATATATCTAAAAAGTCAAATAATTTATGCATTAAATTCAATATCAGTTTATAATTTTCAAAACGTCACCAATATTTTTTGTTAAACTAAATGGTAAAAATGTCAATTATTTTAGTTGTACTTTTTTTTTCTTTTTTATTTTGTAATAAAGATGTTTTCTCTATAAAAAATAATTGTTATGTAAAAAAATATACAACGTGAATATGCAATAAATGTATCTTATATAGGTGAAGTTAATCTTTTCCATTGCACAAAGCGACTTTTAAATCTGAAAAGATTACTGTTTATGACTGTGAAATTTTTTTATATGAACGTATAGAAGTTAAAGTTAATAAACCCGTTTAATGTTTAAAACTTATGAATGTTGATAATGTAAACCCCATTTTACGCTAGTATTATAGTTGATATGATAAAAATGTTTTTGTAAAGCCAACAAAGATTTTATAAGATTTTAATCCAGCTACAACAGAAGCTTTAAATCATAAACAAACTTTAGTTTCGGAAAACATGAATCACAATGAAGGCAGGGAAAAAACTGTGGCAATCAACTCCACATGCAATGATCTGAATTTAAGTCAGATTGAAATACTTATAAAGTTAAAAGGCTTCTAACTTGTAAACTTAATAATTAAATTAATATACCGTTTTATGATGGCTCATCATCAAACAATAACGCATTAATTCAGATATATACATTAAATAAGAATTTGTTAATACAAGTCCATTGTAAAAGTATAAGAAAACCATATATAGGCAGTAACATTTCCTTATCACATTTCATCACACAACAAAGTTGCATCTGTTATACGACTCTTAAAGAAAGGTGTGCCAGGTTTTAAGTTATTTATAGGAAAATAAATATTTTAAACACATTGTATCTGAAACTCAAATCATCATATTTTGTGAATCTTAAATTATGCATGAAACAAAATTGATGGTATAAATATGTTTGCTTTTTGTAAAATTTACATATCAAAATATTAAAAACATTAAAGCATACACATTGATGCCACAGTATCAGTGTTTATAAAGAAAGGAAAAGTATTAATTTGCCCCTTTTCAAACAAAATCTGTTGTATACACATAGGAAATAAGTCAATCAATAATTCTCCATCAATATACCATATCATCGTCATATTTCAATGATTAAATACAATTATAATGAGCTTGCAACGTAACTCACGGTGTACACATTTTTAACAGGTTTCTGAACATAGTTTCTTATTTTTCTTCTTTCCTTTCTTTGTGCATGCTCGTTTCCTTTACATACTCACACTCTGTACAATCAACGCATCTCTTTGACGTTTTCCTAATCGTTTGTAATGAGCGATCATGCGCATGCGAACATTTTCGACAAATTTCAACAGAATATCAATGTTTAAAATCTGCTTCACAGAAAATATAAGTGATTTAGATAACAAATTGAAACTCAACTCGAAAAGTTGCGAAAAGCTCGCTAATACAGCGTTGATGACATGATTATTAGTCTTCCTAACCTCCATGATGTTTTGGGGGTCTCACGGGAATTTCCATCGAGGTTTGTGTCGGCTTATGCTTTTGTAATAATGGCATGCTAATTTGGCGTCCAGGGACCTGAAACATAGTTGAATAGTAAGAAACCTTAATAAGGCTAAAAAGCATGTATTTAAAGTAACATATATTTGAAATATTTAGGCAAATATACATTTCAAAATTTAAATTCAAATATTTTATGAACAAGGCTTTACTTTGGACATAAGATAAATTTATATCGGTGTTAATTTTGTAGATGTGTTTAAAAATGTTATATACATATACAAGTAACGTGTTCATGTCCTCCCTTTTCATTTATTGTCACGGGGGCATTATGTACGGTACACTTATACTCATTTAAAATGTCAAGTGCTATATCAAAGCACAATATATATTAAATCAGCGCAGTAACTAATAAGTATGAAAACAGTATTACTGAAGAAACTTGATCTTGATTAGACAGGTATTTCAAGCGTCACAATTACCCTGACCTTAAACCCTCAAAATAAACGACGCAAAATCAATAGGGCACATCTCCTTGTCATGACCAACCTCTACACCACAGTTGCAAGCTTTAGCGATCTCTAGTTATTGTTTGCTCACACAATTAGTAGTCAAGGGCATTGGACCATGACATTTGTACCTCAAAATCAAAAGGGGTCATAACCTAGTCATTTCCAACAATTTTATATAAAATCTTAGCACTGTTAATCAAAGCATCGTTCTCTAGATATTGGACAGAAAAGGAAAATGTGACGAACCTACGGACGTATGGACTGACCATTATATGCTCCCGTTTAGAAAGTGGGGCATGAAAAGTATTGATATGATTTCTAAAACTTTTAATTCAAATTATATATAATAATGCTAATATTCTACCTTTTCGATATCCAAAAGAGATGCGTCTTTAAGCTCAAGATGTTTCGATGCTATAAAGCAATCTGGAATTATAACGTCGGACTTTTGTCTGTAGTCCTGTGCCTGAATATTGTCATTTGAACTATTTGATTTGCATCGATACACCTTCATCATAAACCTATGTCGAATGTCTGTTGTCGATCCCTTTAGCATGGACGGAGTATAGCACTGCTCATCAGCATCCGGTTTAAGACTCTTCAAAAATGTCATTTCTCTATCCTTTGAAATTTTCTTTACTATTTCCATTAAAGTATCAAATTCGATATTCATTTCTCCCCCAATGAAAATTGGTTTCTCTGTTTTGTTAATCAGCCTTTGTGAAAATATTAGAATACTTTCCATGAGGGTTTCAGCAGGTACAGTGGCTGACTGAAACAAATCGTACTTCCAGGAGACCATAGAAAACTCTTTAACAACTCGCTGATGTGGTTGCAGGGAAAATACCTTTACATGAGGAACCACCAGCTTATCAAGGTCAAGGCCAGGCAAACTTCCGATTGAGTTCAAGCTAACATTTGGCCGACTCATTTGTACTCTGTTGACGTCATATAAAAAAACGGTACCTTCACATTGTTGAAGAGTATATTGACCATAACCCCTTATAGCGTTGAGTTTTGCAGCTTCGTCGTCTCCGGGAAGGAAACATATGTCCGGTTTTGTGTCCGGACATTGAAATATTCTGTGCAAATATCCTGATCTTATGTGAGGTGATAAGGTTTGAAGCCCCTTTCTAGAACTGTTAAAACTCAGAATAGACAAGACGTCGTTGTCCATGATTGCCTATTCTGAAACGATAGGACAACACATTTCAAATAATCGGAATGGAAAGAGACAAAGAAAATAAAATTCTTTTCATTCAATGACTATTTTCTGTGAATCGCTTGTTTCTTAACCATATAGTAAACATAGAATGGAAACACTTACCAATGATAACTGTAATCTAAGTCTCTTTTTTATAAAAACACAATGATATATTCTCTGCCTTTTTTTCAACTGTACTTGGTATGACTTTGGGCGGGCTCATTTATACCTGTAATGACCATTCTAGACCATTACGTAATGAATTTAACGTTATTTCCGAAGGAAAGTTTTATTGGTTTTCCTGATTATAAACAATATGACAATGATGGGAAACCAATCAATATTTACAAATTAAGAAATGATTCATGTTATGCAATTTAGTTATTTAAAGAAAATTGCTCATTGTTTTCATCAAATGCACAAAATTTAATGGCTATTTGATAAGATTAATAAGTAATGTGCGCATTTTTATATTTCATTGATATATAGACTACATCTATTTTAATAAATCTATTAAGTACTTGACCTTAATTACCTGGAGTTTCTTTGGGTGTTTTTTAAAAGTCTCGTCAATCTGATTTAAACTGTACCTGTCCCCAAAACGCAAGGGCAACGGCTAAGTGTGTAAGATACAAAATTTATACCCGTCGCTCCTTTTGAGCTTTTATCGTTAAATTTGTGTCTCACAATAATCATGCTTACTTATACTTTACTTTATTAACGTTTTTTTATTTAAACCCTCCTAATTTTACCAAAAGTTAGTGAACAGACTATATACCAAACGTTCTATTTCTTTTATTTATCGAAAACAACAACATTTTCCTTTTACTTCATTTCATTTATAAATAACATGTTTTTTTCAGGTGGTAAATGTATGCATGTTATGTACTGTACAGCTCATTAACACAGTTGACCATTCTACTACCTTTTTCTGTAATTTCTACAGAAATTAAAGGCAAGCAGCGACTTATTCGGTATAAATATTTTGATATGGGTCATTGAGTCAAATACATTTTGTCTAATTTTTGAAGAATGAATACAACAAAGATCGCTGCTAAAGAGCGTGAGAATTTTTTTTTTTCAAATTTCATTGATATCGTCAGCAAACTCAATTGAACTATATCAACAATAGAAGTATATAGAAGACCTACATTTATGCAAAATATATGATAATCCCCATGGAAAATAAATCCATTTTCAGAAAGTAAAAAATATGGTAATCAAATTATTTTCCGAAAACTTTGGGCTAAAAAAGAAATTTTCAAAGTTTAACCTTTTAAAAAAAGTTGGGAAACCCGGGGTTGCATACCCTGGGCGAATATTTAAAATTGTAACCTGTTTTTAAAGCACGAACAAAATACTATAACCCTCTACTTTTACTTTTAAAATATTTGTTTAGTTAAAAATGGTTACAAATTTTAATAAAAAGTATAGTAGGCACACGTATGAACGCGATAAGAAGTCGACCTACATTTATGTAAAAGAATGTGGAAAAACCGAGGTCTTTACGGCGGAAAGTACAGTCAAATTTAAAAAAACTGCACTGAAATAGACCTCATTAGATTTTACCATTTATCTTTACTATAGCATTATAAATAAATCTTACGCAATGCAGAAGTAATTTAACATTTTGATATTGTTATAATATAATATGTATGCCGGTCATGCGTTAATAATTAACCAAATTTACCAAATATATGTAATATTTGGCGCACTTTTTTGAAATTTTAAATTGGAAGCAATGAAGTAGAATAAAATTATATCAAAATGAAACACGGTAGTTCACAAATGTAGGTTGATCTACGGTGTTCAATTAGGACCAGCGCGTTATTGTTTTTACCGTTTTAACTAAGAAAGATACCCATGAAACGAACATCAAAACGCAAATAAAGCGTAATTAAATAAAATGAAAGAAGCAACGACCACAAAACAATGCCATGAAGTCATTACTTACTGATAAACATTTATTTGCAATGGCACTTTCGTGACAATGTTTATCTTTCATTACAAAAAGAATTTGCGTATAAGTTAAATACCATTTTTAAACTATAATTGTTCCCAAATGTTTGTTCAATATCATCTGAATACCTTAGTAACTGATCATGAGGGTAGTTTACATAACAATGTAGGATCTGTAACATAGTTTATTTATTTCTATTTTCATTAATCTATCCTTTATAAATTTATTGACTTAAGTTAAACTGATAAAAAATAAATAAAGTAAAACTGAAACTGTTCATATTTCTATATACATATTCAATGGCGTTGTACAACAGAATAATTAAAGTATGTACATATAGATAGAAAATCACATATGCACGGCAAATGAACTACAAATAATAAGTTTTAGAAATCAGCCGTGCAAAATATATTTAAAATATTAAAAATTAAAAAAAAAAGTAATAAAAAAAATAATAATAAATAATTTAAAAGAAAATAAAGATTTATCGTTATTTTAGTAAAATATTTAACACATTTCCACATCTCGATAAGTTTACAGCCCAATCACAATCTTAAAACAATGCGTAAAAATCTCTAAAATAGTAGGTTTCGACATTTTTCTTGAACATGTACAAAGTCGAAGACTATCTTATATACAAAGGCAGTTTATTCCAGAGAGTTGGACCAACGGTACTCAAACTTCTTTCGCTTTGTTAAAGGGAACAGCAAAACAATCTGAGATTTGGTCTTTTTAAGACAGGTTTGTGTAACAGTTCTGTTAGATAAGCCGGAGCATTGCCAATGAAACAGTTATACATTGTACATAGTATTCTAAATTTGATTCTAGCTTTAATTGGTAGCCAATCCAGTTCAAACGAATATTCTTAGAAACTATCATAATTTCCGCGTTGCAAAACAAGTTTAGCGCACATATTTTGGATACGCTGTAATTTCTGTAACTCACTTTCGGAAATGCCAAACAATATAACGTTGCAATAATCCAAATGTGTGATTACTAGCGACAATACTAGGATTTTTGTTGATCGCTAAATCAGATGTTTGCGAATGCTCTTTATTCCCAAATAATTAAACATGGCAGTTCTACACTTGGTCCTAACATGTGTTTAGAATCTTACGACCTCGTCTTAGTAGGAACCTAAGTATCTTATAACACTGACATTTTAAATTTTATCACCGGCGATATCAATTTCTTAATTGAACACATCTACCAAAAAAGAGAAATACAGAATCCCTAAAGAAAGCCCAACACGACAAAATTGAAAATGTTGCAGGCTCGGTTTGATTGAGTCTGTTCATGGACGGTAATGGAAAGTACAAGTTACCGTCCACGCCCCCTAGCACGGGCTTAAGCAGAATTCAACATCTAACACGAAAATGGTGAAATTTAGAATTTAAAAACATCCTCAGAGGTGTTCATACGGCGGTTATCATGGAACCTTCAATGTGACACATTAGTGCCATTCCATAAAAAGCGACGTATGGTCCCCTAGTAAAAGAATTATTGTGCCCTAAACGAGAAGACAATGGGCGGAACTAAATAAAATGGAATTTTGAAAGGTGATTTGAGGTTATGAAGCCTGCATATCACAGATATGACGAAGTTGGGCTTGCTCATCTACGCACATCTTCATCTGCGGATGGTTCTAAATTCAAAATTTCACCATTTTAGTGTTTAAATGTTGAATTCTGAATTAATGAAAAAGAACTCAAACTTCCTATTATGTATTGGATTCCTAAATTACATAAAAACCCTTACAAAGCCAGATTTATTGCTAATTCTACATCTTGCACTACAAGTAAACTTTCTATTTTATTAACGTCTTGTTTGACTGCCATTAAAACACATGTAATTAGATATTGTGATAAAGTCTATGAAAACACAGGCAAATATCTCTTTTGGCCAATTAAAAATTCTGGTGAAATCTTGGATAAATTCAAAATTAATAACTTTCAAGCTTCAACTGTCAGTACATACGATTTTTCTACACTTTATACAACTTTGCCACATAAATTAATTAATGATAAACTAATTTCCCTAATTCAGAAAACTTTTGCACGGGAAAAAGTTACCTTTCTAGCATGTAATTCTAACAAAGCTTTTTTTACTAACGGTATTGTTAAACATTATACTATGTGGACCTGTGACGAAGTTTGTAGAGCGCTCTCTTTTCTTTTAGACAATATTCATATCATGGTTTGGTAATACCTTATTTAAACAAATCATAGGAATTCCTATGGGTACTAATTGTGCACCCCTGGTTTCCGATTTATTTGGTGCTGCTATGAAAGAGACTTTATGTCGAGTCTTTCTGAAGATACACAACAAGATGTTATAGTAGCGTTAAATAATACTTCCATATACTTATATATTCCATATATTTTTGATTTAGATAATTCTTATTTCCCATGAACTACAACTTAATAAAACGAACTCTTGAAATTTTAGTACATAATTTTTGGATCTTCATATTACTGTCAATAACAATTCTATTCACACGAAAATCTGTGATAAAAGAGATAACTTTGATTTTTGTAAAATTAATTATCCACATTTAGACGGAGACGTACCCCACACAACATCTTACGTGGTATATGTTTCTAAGTTAATTAGATTCACCAGAGCTTGTAGCAAAGTGAAGGATTTCAACGAGCGGAATATTTTCATTACTAACAAGCTTCTCAAGCAAAGCTACCGCTATCATGAATTACGCAAATATTTTACAAAATTTTACAATTAATTCAAAATTCAATAGTGATTTGAAAACACTTCTGCGACAAGGGATTAGCCAACCTGATTTCTATGGCGATATGATTTACAAACTTCGTAAGATTTTGGGTCATGGTAATTTTTCTGCTGTTTTGACTAAAATCATTGAACGTTTTATTAAAAGAGGTTATGACCCTACTATTTTAAGACATACTGCATGTTTAGTGTTCAACCCTTTTACAGTTAGACACTACGCTTTCCTCTTTTGATTGCATCTGACGGACCAAGTGGGAGACTCTATGATGGATAGTTCGTAAAGCCCTTTGGGACTGAATTGTCTTTATGTTCGTCTTCTGCCTTGCTTCGTCGGGCCCTTGTAGGTGATTTTCTTGTTGCTCTGTCTTCCTTTAGGACATTGAGTACTTTTGTTATGGTCATTGGGTTTACTTTTGTATGTTTCTACATGATCATTTTAGTGTTTTACTTATTTAACCTTTTGTAACCATGACAACTGTTAGAATTTCACTTGGCGGGGATTCATTTTATTTACACTGTCTCGTTTGGTGGGGCAAAGGGCGAGGTTTGGTGCACCATTAACCGGTTTAAACTCCCCAGAAGTCATTATTATGCTGCTGACCGTTCCAAGGCGGCGCCCCACTGTGTTCCTCAGATGTATGTCTATGCTGTTTCATACTGTTTTGGTGACACTTTTGCTTGTGTCCCTTGTTGTTTTCTCGTCTACGGTAAGTATCTTCCCCATTGCCTCTAGTTTTTATTTCTTTGATTACCCCCCCCCCCCCCACATTCCCCCGGTCTCCTGTCCCCTTCCCCTTTGTGGGCCTATTATTGTTTTCTTTGAATTCCTAATCAGTTACAAATTATTTATCATTTAATGATTAACCTGTCTTTGCCCTGTCCTTTTTATGTTTGGGGTCCGCATGGGCTCCTTGCCATTGGTTCTTGTTGCTGGGTCATATGGGGGTTGCGTTCATTGAACGCCGCCTTTCCTTGTTGATCTTGTTTATCATATTTTGAGTTCTGCATATCCATTTTATCTATAACAGACTGGATTTCTGATTAAAACATGTTTACAAAAGTATTGACATTTTCACTATCGTCAAATCATCGGATAATTCAGAATTGGATATGCTTTTCAAGTTCCTATATTGTACAGTTTAAGTGATAATATTTCTTTCTTCACATTAATGACTTCGTGGACAGCACAGTGATCGGAGAGAAAGGCCCTTGCTCAAATTTAAGTACACATACACGATTAATTGATTCAGTGATTACCACGTCTAGTTACTTTCCAGCAGTGTGTGTACTTAAGTTGACATGTTGCTCTAAACCCATAGCATGAAGGCAATTTAGAAAGTTTGAAGATGCACCACTACCACTGTCAATGTGGATTTCTGAAGTCTGAAGTCAGTTACAAATTGCTCACATGTAGCTAGGGATGGGGGTCTGTATAAACAAACTACGTATACTGTTATACTTTTGAAAATGATTGCCCATATGCCAAACCCATGTTCCATCTATTTCATTTTAATTTCGGTTTAACAAGTCAAAGCAATACCGCCACCAATTTTGTTCTTGCGGTTTGTAACCATTTTGCTTGAGATCAGACGTTTCAAAGTGATGTTGTTTTTCGTCAGAATACCATGTTTAAAATAACAAAGCAATGTCAATTATTTGTTCCAACAAAATTTTCATTGTTAGCAACAGATATACAGTTAAATGTAAACCATGATTTTTTTTTCACCAATCTGTACACGCTAGTTTTGAATTTAGGGGTATTTCAAATTGTGTAGGTTTGTACAGGAAGGATTAGTCAGGATTTTAGCTTTACCACCATGTTTGCTCCTTTTGTGAGTTTTGGGTTGAGATATGTTCAGCTTATATATAACACCTGGTACTCAAATGTTTGATGTATTAAGTTGCCTATCTATTGAAACCGTTAATCCTATTTTCAATAGCTGGTCATGACATTACCTGTAGTTTTTATTTATAGCTGGCTGGTTATTGATTTCAATCATGTCCGAAATATGTATATTTTGTAAATATCTGTAAAAATGCTTTGATAAAGTTTAACAATTTTTGCATGTTTAAACGACATGAATCATTCAAGATCTTGATTTTAACAGTTTAAATCGTTTCGCATCACACCTTGGTTTGAAACAGTTGTGTCATATAATGTCAGCTTAAGTAAAAATGCCATTTTTATTTTATTGTCCACACACGGGCCCCTAATTGTAGTTAAATGTGTTATTGTTTTATTTCTTAAATGAATGATTGATTTAAATAAACGCTTAAAGACGGGCCTAACATTATGAAGAAAATAAAAAACATTATAAAACTCATTGACAAATCATTTAAACAAAGTTTTATGCCTGAAATGATACTATTTAAACACATACAGGTAGATGTCGAGTCAGTTCATTTTCTTTGTGCTTTTCAATGTCTTTTTTTTCGGGCAAGAAGGATACTCTCCAAAGATATCTTTTGAATTGATATATCACTAAAAAATAACATAAAAATATGTACATTATTTCATACCTAACGCTAATCAAAAAATCAAATCAATATATCGTCAGATGTATTTATTTATTTCAGTCTCATTCATGTATATACATATACATGTATTTACAAATCAGCATAATAAACTATACATAATCAATTTATTGCACACTTACATAGACATCGTCACATATTTTTTTCAATTTCTTGTTTTGCCTTCTGTCAGTAAACATACCAATGACCAAACAAAGGCTGCTTCAGTTATCAAATAAAATTCAGGTTCATTTTATCAAACAATATGCCGCTTCTTGTAAGTTTAAAGCACTTTATTTTTCTTTATAATTGTAATTATAAAATTGTGTTTGTAAATCTACCTCCAACCAACACATTTTATCAGTCATATAACACAATAATGACCAAACAACACCTCTCAGTTTCAAGGTGATGTTTCTAGGGTAATTTTTATTTGCACTTTTCATGTAAGTTGATGAATGATGAGGACTGTTGTTTTTTCTAACCGCCATGATGTTTTGGGGGTCTCACGGGAATTTCCATTGATGTCTGAGTCGGCTTATGCTTTTGTAATAACGGCATGCAAATTTGGCGTCCTGTGACCTGAAATGCAAAGCAAAATAACGATCACTAAACATAAGGCATACAATGATTTACTACACATTGGACATGTATATATACGCATTTTATCAAGAATAAATAATCATGCACATTTACTAGTATTTGTATTATAGGTGATAAGGTGAACACAACTTTCTGAACACAACTTTCTATTATGTATACAAACAGTTTACGCATAAATTTGATGTAATCAATCCAAAACGTATCATAACAAATACCTAATCAGTGTGTTTATAAATATAGCTTAATTAATTTTTATCTATATTGATATTTAATTTCTATTATTATATTTATAATACCATAAGTTTCCATAACGTGAAAATGTATAAGAAATGTTTAATAACAAACAAAATCGTGTATCGTTACCTCTTCGACATCCAGTAGTGAAGCTTCAGCGAGCTTAAGGTGTTTGGAGGCAATAAAACAGTCTGGTACAACTTCGGACCTTTGCCTGTCTTCCCACGTTCTAATAACGCCATTTGAACTGTTTGATTTGCATTTGAATACATTCATCATGAACAAATGACGTATATCTTTGAGGGAAGACTTTGTCATGGAAGGGAGAAAGCCCTGCTCACTCATCACTGGTTGCATATTTGTTAGAAACTCTTCTTGTTGATCTGTTGACAGTTTTTTCACTATTTTCACCAAAGAACTATACTCGATGTTCATTTCTCCACCAATCAAAACTGGTTTCCCTGTTGTGATTGCAAGTCTCTGTGAAAATGTAATTAAACTTTCCATAAGGGTTTCAACACTAATACAGGTTGAGTGGAAGTAACCATATTTCCAGGAGATCATCGAGAATTCCTTCACCACTCGCTTGTACGGCTGGAGGGTAGATACTTCTACTTGGGGAACCACGAGTTTATCGAAATCTAAGCCAGGCAAAACTCCAAAAGAATTTAAACTGACTTTTGGTTTCTCCATTTTTACCCTGTTGACGTCAAAAAGAACGACGGTATCATCTGAATTTGGAATAGTGAACTGACCATAACCACTTATAGCGTTAAGTTTCGCATATTTGTCGTCTCCAGGAAGGAAGCATATGTCCGGCTTCGCGCTCGAACTTTGAAATAATCTCTGCAAGTATGTTGGTCGTTGCTCAGATGATAACGTTTGAAGACCTTTTCTAGAGCTGTTAAAGCTCACAATAGACAAGTTGTCGTTTCCCATGATTGCCAGTCAACTCTGAAATAATAGAACAACATATCTAAAGTAATGAAATGGAAAGAGAAGAAGAAGAAATCTTCTTAGTAAGCATCTATAGATTCCTTAATAAAGTTAACATTGAAAGAACTTACTTACCAATGATACCTAAAATATATGTGTTTTTTTCTCAATAAAATTCAACGATATGTTTAAGTATCCTTCTCTGTCCTTTTCACAATTATGATTTTAATATCTTTGTGCTAGATCCTTTAAATAGCCGTTCTAGACCATGACGTAATTAATTAAACAAATTTTCCAACAGAAAGTTTAACTGGTTTTCCATCGTATCATTGTCATAACAGTATTGGGAAACCAATCTTTATTTAGAAATTTTAAGATGATTCATGTAAATAAAATTTGGATGTTTAAAGAAGCTTGCTTATAGCTTACTTATGAGATTTAATGTATATGAGGCACTACCAAAAGACATGTGCAACATTGGTTGTTTCCGGTTCTCGCCTTTCCGTTTTATGATACGAAATTATGACACAAATAAATGAAAGACAATGACGTTATTTTTAGGGTGATTATATCATTCAATTCAAATTCATTATTATGCTAACAATAGGAAAACATTGTATTGTATTGAATTGTATTATATTGAACAATCAACCCCTTCATACTATCTTAACAAAAAGATAAACCACTTTATCTAAATGACCTGGAGATAATTTGCTTAATGTGTAAACTTCATATATGTTAGCAAAGTGAAATTAAAAAAAAACAATTGTCATTTCGTAGGTTAACTTTAAGTTTGTATTTTTTGCAAAATTCATTCTAAAATAATAGTGCCCCTATACCCTTTTGAAATACCTAATACTCTATTCGAACCGTTATATTAATGTTATATACGATATTACAGAGTCGTCAGACCACAAAACTGTTATATTTTCCATATTTTATTGATAATCATTGTATTGCCATGTAAATGTATGCTATGTGCTGGAGTAGATATGCATTATATATTTTATAAATCTATTTTAACAATGCTCGTACTTTACTAGTTTTCATCATAAGATTATGTCAAACTTAGTGAGATTTAACAATTTCATTATAAAGGCATTAGTTAAGAAGTAAAAAGCTGACATAATATAAAAATACCCACGGAAATTAAATCCATTTTCAGAAAACTGACGCTATTTAAAACATAATTTATATCAAATTAGAAGCTTACCAAGATAAACAGCTATTTGTTCTGATCGAACCAATCTTTACCTTTGTGTTTAGCAATATTATATAGCAATTTTTTTTAATTTGTAAAAGATTTATGTGTATGCGTAGAATTTTGGTAGACATAAAATTAAACCCCGAGGAAAAGTCTACTCGTGAAGCGTAATAAAGTTCAAAATGAGGAATAAGAAGAGAGGTTCTTATTTCTGTTTCATTAACGTCTTTTAATCATGCAAATAGCCATGGTACGCTTTAAGATCTACATCTTCTTGAAGTAATAATAAGACACGTTAAAATGGGCTAGAATTACAAATCTTATCCACTTATGAGCATATAAATGAGAACATTGAAACTAAAAAATATCGATAACTAATATAAATTATATACTAGCTAATCATGTAAAAACAAATCGACAAACAGAATGAATGTATTCTATAACTGACTCTAAAATTTGTAGTAATAAAAAAGAGACAAAATGAAAACTCCCTAAAGCACGCACAAAACGACAAAATTGAAAATGTTGCAGGCTCGGTTTGATTGAGCCAGTTCATGAACGGTAATGGAAAGTGCAAGTTAGCGTTCACGCCCCCTCCAGCACCGGCTGGTTTGGTTTAAACATATTTATTTTAGCTCGATTGCGAAACAAGTTCTTGCAACTTATATTAATCACTTTCGAGTCCGCTTCCTGGAACCAACCAGTACTGGCGTCATATGAAGAAACATGGTCGTGACCCGAGTAGGGCTCGAACCCATGATCTCTGGGTTGAGAGGCAGACACCTTAACCACTAGGCCACCGCTCCCCTTGAACATTTGGAATTTTGAAATATCCGCAGGTGTGTTCATACGGTGGTTATCATAGAACCTTCAATGTGCCACGGGATATAGTGCTATTCCATGAAAAGCGGCGTATGGCCCAAAAGAATCCGTTTGAACTCTAAGTTACTCTAAGGTTGATCAACTAGTATCCAAGTAGGAATATCAGAACCACCCGGCAAGACTTAATTAATGAAACTAAATTGCATAACAATAGCGTATTGCTGATCATCAATGTAAAATATTACAACATTTCTTTAAAATCTTTAAAAAAAAGATTCCTCTACATTTAATTGTAAACATTTTACATGTGTTTTTGGGAACAGCGCTTTAAATCCAGCTTTTTGAAAAAGTTCAATTAAGCTTTTGTCTTATTTCTTATTTTGTAAAGATATTAATCATATACACTAATGTGAAATATATGCTCGATTTGATGGAAAAAAAACAACAACAAAAAAACAAAAACAAAAACATAATATTTATATTAACAAAATGGCGACATATGTTTTTGTAAGATTAAAACATGCATGAAAGGATCCTGAAAATTCAGCAGAATTGTTTTACTTTCAAAGTATATTAAATTTAACCAAGACTCGAATTGAACAGGAAACCCCCATTTTGTTGAGTCGGTGCTCTCTACTTATTATACACAGGCTGTTCGTTAGATACGAAAAAGACAAATTCATACGATTGTTGAGACATTAATATAAGGAGGGTATTTCGAAAAAAAGTAAAAAAAAAAATCCCCCCCCCCCAAAAAAAAAAAAAAAAAAAAAAAAAAAAAAATAATTAGACATATATATAAAACAGTATCGGGTTACGCATACATTGTTAGGGATATATACATTTATATAAAACAGAAACGAGTTACGCATACATTGTATCTATTGTGAACATTGGTAAATAAATATATCGAGTAAGGTTAAGAAATTTAAAGCTATTATACGGTAAATGGTCTATTTTGGTATTATATAATATTAAAAAGCGTATGGTATGCTGTCACACATAAAGAATAATTATCATTTTATTAATATATATAAATTAAACAATTCGACGAAAATCAACAAATGATAAATAAACATTCGTTAACAGATTTATAAGTGTTTTAGAGGTCATTTATTTGCCATTGGAAATAACTTTATCCCTAGGCCCATTCTCTTTAAGTTATTGAGTGGAATTGTTTTATACAAAGCATCTCTGTGACCCTGACGTTTGGCCTAATAACCTTAAATCAATAGACATTGTTTTCCTATTGTCAAACATTTCCAAGCATCGTGTAAAGTAGCAGGTCAGCAAACGGACAGCAAGTTATTCGGCTGACACCGATTTGGCTATTGGTCCGACATATTTATGGACAAGCACAATACCATCAAACTTGCGCATTTTTCATTGGCCTTATATACTTACATCCTTAAAAACCTCTGGGTTCTGATGAGACGAAACAATATTTAGAAAACTTCTACCTTGACCTGGCCTATACAGAAATTTACAGGTTACATATAAGGAAATGGAATATGTGTATTTTAGGGTACTGTGTACCCATTTGCGTGGTGTACATAATGTATAGAGCGAAAAATGATTCATTTATATTAGCTGAAGTATTTATTTTATGATTTTTATACACCCGTATAAATGTATGATGGGTAAGAATAAATCAACAGATTGATTAATAAATGCGTACTGGCCATTAATTAGGTCCGAGTTCGGTATGAAATCATAACAAAGAAAAAAGAACATAGACACCTTTATTTTATATTTTTAGAAATAAAAAGGCAATATCACATATCTAAATAATCACTCAATGCGGAATGGCATGTGCTATAGTTGCATGTAGAATACACTAACTTTTGTAATGAAAGAAATACAATAGATAGATAATATTTGTAAGTGACAAATCATTTTCGTTTTCAAAGGTATCAAAATAAGATTAAACATTTTCTACATAACAATGATCATATCATGATAATTTTTTATAGTAGTCATTTCAAAAAAGGATAGAAAAAAACTTGTACACAATCAATACCGAACGCTAATCTTTTATACAAAATCAAATTAATATGTCGTCAAATATAATGTCAAATCTTTGTTTTGCCTTTTGCCAGTAAATATATTTATTAAAACGAAACGTTACTTCTTGAATGCATCACAAATCAGCCTGTTTTACCATTGTTCAGTATCACCCGTCCATCATTTTTCAAAATCTTCTAACAACAACATATTTTATCAGTGATAAAACACAATAATGATTACGCAACACTACTCAGTCTCACATCTTTCAAGTGCTATTATCCTTCGCCATTTTTTACTTTCTCTCTACACTTGGTCGTTGACGAATGATCAAAACTGGGTTTTTATCTAGCCGCCATGATGTTTTGGGGGTCTCACAGGAATTTCCATAGAGGTTTGAGTTGGTTTATGTTTTTGCAATAATGACATGCAAATTTGGCGTCCTGTGACCTAAAATAAAAAAAATGATAATAAGACAATGCGTATGAATGCAATACGTATATTTGTCTATATTCCAATCTCAAAGTCTCGATCATTATTAAAAGATACATATCCAAGATATTTATTAGTGAATGTGGCCATAACATTTATTTACGAAAACCGTTTTACTGATACACTTGATGAAAACATTCTAAATTGAAATATACTACTGCAAATACATAAGTTATTTCATTCAGTTTAACTAAATATAGCCTAACGGAAATTTCTTTCTATATTTAGATCTGATTTCTATAATTAGATTGTATTTTAACAGTATGTATTGATTTAAATGTAATGTTACATAACAAATAAAACCCGGTATTCTTACCTCTTCAACATCCAATAGAGAAGCCTCTGCGAGTTTTAGATGTTTGGATGCAATGAAACAGTCAGGCACAATTTCGGTCCTTTGTCTGTCTTCCCACGTTTTAATAACGCCATTTGAGCTGGTGGATTTGCATTGAAATACATTCATCATAAACAAATGACGTATATCTCTGAGGGAAGACTTTGTCATGGAGGGAAGAAAGCCCTGCTCACACATCACCGGTTGCATATTTGCTAGAAACTCTTCTTGTTGATCAGTTGAAAGTTTTTTCACTATTTTCATCAAGGTACTATACTCGATATTCATTTCTCCACCAATCAGAACTGGTTTCCCTGTCGTGATTGCAAGTCTCTGTGAAAATGTAATTAAACTTTCCATGAGGGTTTCAACACTAAAACCGGTTGACTGGAAGTAACCATATTTCCAGGAGATCATCGAGAATTCCTTTACCACTTGCTTATACGGCTGGAGGGTAGAAACCTCTACTTGGGGAACCACGAGTTTATCGAAATCCAAGCCAGGCAACTGTCCAAAAGAATTAAAACTGACTTTTGGTTTCTCCATTTTTACCCTGTTGACGTCAAAAAGAACAACAGTATCTTCTGAATTAGGAACAGTGAACTGATCATAGCCTCTGATAGCGTTAAGTTTCGCATATTTGTCGTCTCCAGGAAGGAAGCATATGTCTGGCTTCGCATTCGAACTTTGAAATATTCTCTGCAAATATGATGGTCTTTGGTCAGGTGATAATGTTAAAAGACCTTTTCTTGAGCTGTTAAAACTCACAATAGACAAGTTGTCGTTTCCCATGTTTGTCAAACCTGAATAAAGAAATGATAAAAATCATTAGAATTTAAATAGAGAAAATGAAAAAAAGAAGAAAATATTTCGTCTTATTTAAAGAAAAGTAAAATTTTCGTTTTTTGTTTTCTTAATGTTTTGGAAAAAAAAAGATACTTACCAATTTTTGAAACTTATGTCCTGATTATTTAATGATAGCTAACTTTACTCCTTTACTCTTTAAGCTTGTGCGCAGTTGTAAGGATTGTATGTTAGAGCGGCGACTTTTATACCTGTAATAACTGTTCTAGACTATTACGTAATCAATTGAAAATATTTTCCGACGGAAACTTTATTTGAATTACCTCTTAATCATTTTCAAAGAATAGAATATGTGGAATACCAATGAATATTTATAACAAATGATGCTCGAGGTTTCACAATCGCAGCCTTTTTGGCCCTTTACAACGATATTCAGATAAAATCGGACCATGTCGGTGAGTGTTAAGCGTCTGTATCCAATATAAGCATGTTTTAATAAGAGTCACTGAGTCATAATTATTTGATAAATGAACCCATGTTTACAATTTGAATAAAGTATCAAATTTGTTTTTTTGCAATATCATCATACAAACTGGGGTTATACAGGCCTTTACATTTGTTTGGCTTGTTAATTTGTCTTTTTCAGGTTAACGAACTTGTTAAAATTCTAAATTGATAAAATATATTAAATTATTAAAATATTTATGCCGAAAAGCAAGGCGCCCGAGATAACATCTTCCCATAATCTTCCCGACATAAAGTACAGAACACAACATTTTATACAGATAAACGATAAATTAATTGGTTTTTGTAAATCTCAAACTTTAATTTCTAAATTTCCTATGTAATAATCAGCTCTGACCTAATAATCCATTTAGCTATTGTTCTGTTTAAACATATAATGAAAAGTATGCTAAAATTTTTGATTGTTTCCCTTTATTCCTGACCTTCAATTCGTGAATCTATAAATAGCGAAATGTACTCTAAAGATAGGCACTGACACGTGCAATTTGAATGCTTACTTTGAAAAAAATACTCGATAGTTATCAAATTTGACCTAACTACAGAGGGATTTCGATACGCGTGCATGGTCAATTTTCTGAAATGTATGAAACAAGTGGTGTATTTGTTGATATCGTTAATATCTAATTTTATGATGTGACATTGTTTTACTTAATCTTTCGCACATTGATAAAGCTTTTTGTTCAATCAAATAAAGAATTACGAAAAAGGTTAAAAAAAAGAAGCTAATTTTGATACTATATAAATGTACTATAAGATGTATTAATTAGATAGCCCCAAAAATCATTCTTTTTGTAAAGGTGAAACATTTAATCTGCTTTTACCGGAAAACAGAAAGAAAAGAAAAACAAAACATTTGACCCAAATTTCACTAGTTATATCATTAGTTTTGATGTACTGTTTGAAATATCGTTTTCTGAAAATATGTGTGAATCTTAATTATATTCTATAAATAGTGATATTAAATTAATATACTTTAAGATCTATTTATTTGATAGCGCAATAAAATTGATCTTTTTAAAAAGCGTACTACATCTTCTGCTTTGATCGAAAAAAAAACAACAACAACATTTGACATACATTTTCTGGAGTTTCCCGGGGATTTCATAAGTTTGAATGTACTTTTTGAAATATCGTTTTCTGAAAATGTGTGTAAAGACTTCAAAGAAAGAGATTGTTTTTTAATGTATTTTTTATTTATGTCTTAATATTATGAAACGTTTTTGTTTATATCAATATGATTAGTATGTGTTATGTACATAAAATAGATGTTAGATATGACGGGGGATGACCCCTACACCTTCATACCTACTATAAAGTTAATAAACGGGGTTGCCCAGTTGGAACCGAAGATTATCGTTTCTTCATTTTGAATTTGTACTTATGTCTGTTTTCATATGAAAATGAGTTTCCCTATAATTATTATAACATATTTCTTAAACACATATACATGTTTATCAGCACATCAAAGCCTTTCTTGTTCCATATTTTTAGCTAGGAATATATCTATAGGGAACTGATTGCCCTTTTTACACTGGCATGTGACATACATGCTTTTGTTTTGTTTTTCATAAAGTGAAATGTTATTTTCATAAGTTATATACCTTAAATAGAATTATAACAAATTAATTAAATGACACGAGCCTATGAACGAGGATATTGATTCCATGTCAAATGTAACTGTGACGTTGACTTAATGACATCAAAATATATAGGGGTCATCTACTGACCACTGTCATATCCCTACAAATTATAACAGGCATAAACGCATTCCTTTTCAAGTTATTAGGCTGACAAAGATTTTATAAAAGTGCCACTGTGACCACGACCTTTAACCTTATGATCTCAAAATTAATGACGGTCCTCTACTGACCATGGACTACATCCTTACTACAAAAAGGTTCATCCCTTCTCAAGATAATGATCGAAACAGGATTCAAAATGAAGTGTCACTGTAACCTTAACATTTGTCTTAATGACCTAAAAATTTACAATGAACATCTACTGGTTATGGGCAAGATACTAACAAAGTAACATTATCTCAAGTTATTGGTCGGACATGAATAGCCGGTTTGATATAAATACAAACAGACGTTCTCTCCCATTAGAGTAAAAATATTTCACGCCAATTATGGGAAGATGTTATCTCGGGTGCCTTGCTTTTCGGCATTAATTTTTCAAAAATGTAGAGCGAATGAGTGCACGTGCAAATTTTCGTGAACAACTATAAGTGACTTTCAAGACAGCTGGTGTCATTGAATAAATATTAGTCACTTGCAGTAGATCTATTATATACACTTGATTGCCGCAGAAATATTAAAACAATATAAGCCACAGAATTGTCATGTATAAAGCTAGATCTAGTGCTACAATCCCAAAAATATCTGAAGAAACTTTTAAACAATGTGCATCAAAGGAAAAACTAAAACCATGCATCATGATACAGAGAGGGACATTTAAGGCAAGATTTTATCAGATCCGCTCAGGTATACAATTTCATAAAAATCAAGGACTAAACATTATTCTCAGAAATCAAGCACATCTAGTGATGGATGCAGTACGAGTTTTTCTTCGAAAGTGTCTTCTTACAGACGTAAGACGACAGTTTGCTAGGATAAACAACAAATTGTCCGTGGCGAAGCCGAAGATAAATTGTTGTTTATCCTAGCGAACTATCTTCTTTACGTCTGTAAGAAGACACTTTCGAAGAAAATACGAGTAACTGTATCCGACTTATGCGACGTTTAAGTGTAAACGCATTCCATATAAATAAATCTAACTGAAATGAAATGTATGTTTACGTTGAAAATATAAAACTTTTGAAAATATTTGCATGGCCTTTAAGCTTAGGGCAGTGAAAGGTGTTGGTAAAATTGTATTCGCACGGAATTTTCGTGCATATTATTTTAATCGGACTTCACTTTTATTCATATAAAACAATGTTAAAATGCCTGAGTGAGATTAATTAAGTCATCCAACAATGAAACCGTCCCTGAGCATGTTTTGTGTCAATTTTAAAAGGATAAATGGATAAAGTTTTGGACCCCAAATTAAGTAAGTTTCCTTGTTTACCAGCTTAGCTTCACACAATGTTCAGCTGGATATGGCCGATGAATATTTTCTTTTGTGAGTTGGGATGGGACAGTAAATGTCATGTTAATGTTGTTGTATTTTATAATGTCAGAAGATATACCAAAAAATGTTAAAATTGTAGCATCATCCAACGAACTATTGTTAGTTTCGTCAATGCTAAAATCAACAGTAACTTTGTTCGTGGAAATGGCCATCCAATTGATTTGATTCATTGCTACAACTTTTATTCAGTTTCTATGGCGTCCTGTTTGAGGCAGTTAAAATATCCCTGTTACGATTTAAGATTGACTTAATATCTTGTTTACGCTCGACTATTCGAAAAGTAGAAAAGCTATTGTTACTATGAATTTTGACAAAACTATGACCCTTTGAACTTAAAAAATAATACATTATTCAGGCTCTTGCTTTACTATCAAGCACTGAGAACAGTCGAGCGCACTGGCTCTTGTTAATAGATAAGTAGCGAGATTTTACATTCTCTTTCGAAGAACTTTCGCTATAAACACTGGTACTGTAAATAGGTTACAGTTCAGGCAAAAAAACATGCGAAATTTAAGTTTAATCATCGCTAATATTTTTACATTCTGATTTGCACGAGAATTAAAGTATGAGAAAGTATAAGCATGAGACAAATTCAACGTTAAATGGCGCCAAAAAGTTTCTTGCGAGATTGTAAAATCTCGCTTCTTTATAATTAAACGTATAGAAAGGCGGGGCAAGACTATAGGAAATAGGAAAGAAATATAACATACCAAGAAGAGTCCTTTAACTGGCCATATCATGACACCATACATTTCAACTGTATTCAACCCACTAGGAAAGTAACAGTTATTTAAAAGTGTGTTCTTACTGATGTAAGAAGACACTTTTTTAATAGCTCTACTGGGGTATAGTCGTAGAACTTTAAGAAAACATACTTTTACGATATTCCATCGTCCAATTTTACATAAATGATGTTATCTTATGGATAGGTTTAACACAGGAAAACTTGTGTCTGTGATTATTTGACACTAAACACACACAATTTGCAGGAACTTGCTAAGCATATTTTTAACGCGGAAGTTAATAAACATTGATATAGATGATTAAAGCAGGAGATAATGTAATGTTGTATATACTTGAATCTTTACCACTTTTCGTAAGGCTAACTATAACTTCAGTCAAAACATTTAAAGCAGATAGGTCTACAACGGACACATTTTCCAAAAAATGTTCGGAAATCGAACTAAGAACAACACACATGTATCATCTGGATATTAAAATGAACAAGAAGTTGACAATTTTAAATGATGTTCATATAAACTGTTTATAAAACTATGGAAAAAAATTACGAAAAGGAAAAACTTTTTCTTTAAGGTCGTAACTTAATCGGACAACGTCACATTTTGTTGACAACACAAAATACAAATACAAACAATCATCTTTTTCGCATCTTCGAATAAATGCTGCCGGACTCCTTTCCAAACGCAGTGGTGGCGGTAGATTGATCACAACTTTGTCGTTTATTAAAAAAAGCAAGTAATGAACGTGGTAAGACCCTAGCTTGGTTTGTTACTAAAGATAACATACAGTTCAGTGGAAATCACGTTAGCACAAATCATGTTAAACACAATCGTTGATTCTGTAATTCGCTTTCAGTGGACAAGACATCACCGAGAACCACCTTGCAACGCGGTAAAACAGCCATGCATCTTATTTAATATTGTTAGCAATGAATGAAAAACAGATAACATGCCCTACTCTTCAACTAATATAATAACGTTCAACCTGAAAGAGTGAATATGTAAAAAAAATGCTTTTTCCGGTATACTGTTTGTCCCAGGATGACCAATATTGAGCTAGAAATCATGTAAACAATAGATTTGGGCTGGAAATATTACATTTATAGTGTTCACAAGTTTTTGACATATTTTGCATGTATGGCCTAGTTTTTGACACCGGATGATCCATGTTCAAACTTGTGCTAGAAATTATCAAACAATATTTCTGACAAATTTTCAGGATGTTTGGACTAAAATATTACCTCTAGAATGTAAACAAGGTTTTCCATAATTTCCAGGATATTTGTTAACAAGTTTTTATTTCGTATTTTGGCTGTGTGACAGCACATGCTGTTAGACGGACTGGGAACTTCAAATCAATAAAAAAATCCTAAATCCAATATACATTTAAGCACAACTTTATTTTATAGTGGATGGTGAATGATCCATAGCAAGACATTTTATGATAATATAGAAAAATTATGAAATAATTGCATGAGTAGGTACATTAGTAGATTTAATATTAAAATCAAATTGCAACATTGATAGTTATGCATTATTATCTAACCATAAGGGAACAAGAAAATTGATATACATATATAATTTACTCAATCAACATAAGTAACAAGTTATCAGCAAATATTTGGCAGTGAAAACCTTTACCAAGATCTTGGTCGATGCTTAACCCAAGCTATTAGACAACGTTAAAATGAGCATAATGTCTCTTTAATACAACAACGACATATTTATTTGATAATAACGCCACCGGGCCAAAATATACAATGCAACATGCACCAAGAATCATTTTACGTCCCTCGATTGACATCATTTGATATACAAATAATATGGTGTATAATAATACAGACATTACGTATTTTGTGTCATAACTTGAACTCATATATGAGTAAAAATCATTTAAATTTGTTTTCCATCATACTAATTTAGTTAGTATTTTGACGAACTTCATAATAGTTACAATAATGGAAAAATGCATGATTTTCACAATCCATAAATGACATATTTCTTTTATTACACTATGTACAAAAGCGCTGTTCTCTAGAATGGAAATAGGTCTGTCGATTTCTATTTTAATTGTAGAACATCATCACTTAGAGAAAGATCTTCCATAAACACATGGTAAATCCAATATTACTCGTAAGTGTTTTTCCATATTCATCTATAGGTGATTTATAATTCATAAAATAGAAGCAGTGATTGGAAGCATTTTTAGGATTAAAAATTTCTTACAATGGAGCAAATCCAAAATTTAACGTTAAACATCAGAAACTTATTTATAGTACCGCAATCATTCTTATATGTCTAATAAATAATTGGTTTAAACATAATTCATTAAGAACATTTTGCATAAACAAAATAATCATACAATAAAATTTATTGTAAAGAATAACACAATACAATGCTGAAAAAGGATCAGATCAGAAAGCATAAAATGCTTGTAAAGGCCTTTTCCTGTCATAGGATTAATTACTATAAATAAGACGGATTTTGAAAATGTTTGAAATATTGAATAAGAAGAGAAAACAATTATAATAATTAATACTAGTAAATTGACGAAAGGTGAAACTAAAAAAAGTCAAGTTAACGACCTATGAAACAAAGAATAACATAGAGTAAATCTTTAATCAAAAAGGAGTTTAAATAGGGACTTAATAGATAAATGCAATAATTGTCGTGTTAATAAATGTATTCAGTTTGAGACTTTCATAACTTGAGATAGAAAAGACATAACGTAATAAATAGTGGAAAAGAGGAAGATCTATTCGGTAAGTAAACTGGGGGAGCAGTAGATGTAGCATATGGGGTTGCGTTCATTGAACACCGCCTTCTCTTGTTGATCTTGTTTATCATATATTATAGACTATGGAAATCGTTTGCTATCTCGGATATTTATTTGAACTGCCTGAAATATACTGATGTTGATGTCGTCACTTAAATCTGTGTCGCCGTTAAGTGTTGTATGGTATGTTATATTACAGTAATTTGAAAGTGTTTGGAAAAGACTGTCTCTCATAGAAATGTATTGTTTGCATTAAAAATATGATGGTTAGTTTCTGGAAGTCCACATTGGCATAGAGGTGTGTTTACAATATTTTTTCTGAAAAGATGGTGGTTAAGAGAACTACACTCTGTCGTAGACGTGCATGGTATATTTGCCACTTTCTGACACCTGTATAGAAATATTTTGGACACTTTTTAATTTTTCTATTCAAAAGACACTTGAAAGCAGGCAACAAAGGGGCATTTTTTTATCATCTTGTAATTCATTCCATGAGAGCTGAGGGAAGAAAGGTATTATGGTATAAAGAAGTTCTTGTATGTATTTCCTGTATATTGTTCGAATTTCCTAAATTATAATTCGAGGTTTCACCTACAGAAGGAGGGACAAGTCTTAATATGTAGTCTGAAGAGAGTCCATTTTTCATTTTATAAACACGAATCAATTTATGTTTCTTTCTCCTACTGTCAAGAGGTTCCCAAGGAACCTCTCGTTGGATCTCATGAAAAGCCACAAGTTTACTAGCACCAGAGACAAGTCTTGAAGCTTTAAGTTGGATTTTATCGAGTCTTTCTTTTTCATATTGAGTAAAATTGATGTAAACAACATCAGTGTATTCTAAACTTGGCCTGATATAAGACAGGCAGATTATTTCTAAAGATTTTCGATCAAGTTAAAATTTAAATTGGCGCATGATATGTATACCTTTCGAAGCTCTTATCTTTACATGATGAATTAGAATATGCCATGATCCATCGTCTTACAAGTGTAAGCCTAGGTGTTTGTGAGATGTCACTGAAGATATTGTCTGGTTTTGCATTGAAAGAGGTGGATGGAATGGTTTAATTGTTTTACGTGTGATTAGCATGGTTTCAGATTTGGAAGGATTAAACTTGACTTGCCATTAGTCAGCCCATGAGGAAATCTTGTTTATGTCAGATTGAAGGATATCAGCCACAGAAACAGGATGGTCAACGATCAAATACAGGCTGGTATCGTCGGCAAAATGATTTACAGAAGACCTCATTAATAAACACTAAGAAAAGCAGCGGACCAAGAATCATGCCTTGAGGTACTCCTGTGTTGATTACAGACCAATCAGATTTAGCGCCAGGAAGGACAACAGATTGACATCTGTTCGACAGATATTCCGACAGCCAGTCGAGGTTGGGTCATTGAATACCGGCTCCTCCTTTAAAAACTTAATCAGGGGACCCTTGTCCAACACTTTATCGAAGGCCTTGCTGATGTCGAAAAGGACAATTCGTATCTCAAGACATTCATCAAGGAGGAGTTGTAAAGAAAGATTAATTGATTCACAGTTTAATCGCCAGGCTTGAAACCAGATTGAAGGGGAGATTCTCATGGAAAAAATTATAAATATACTTGAAAATAATGCGTCAAAGATTTTTTCCATACAGCATAAGAGAGAAGTAGGACGATAGTTGTTAGGTAACGATGGATCGCCTGTCTTAAAAATTGGGCACATTTTCCAAGTTTGAGGAATCTTACAAGAGCGGAGTGATGATAAAAAGTGAACAGAGTGGGTATTTGAGTACGGACGACGTTTCATACAAGATCCGATTGCTAATTTCATCAGGCGTAGAAGCTTTATTAGTATAAAGATCTTTAATGACATCTTCAACATCTTGAGTAATACTTATTGAATTGAGACTGTTCCCATCCTGCTAGTAGAAATCGTAACGAACGTGTTTATCAGAGTTTTCAATAGAGGACTGATTAAAAAAATAGTTGTTTAATAAGTCAGATTTTGATTTGTCATATGTAAGTCTTTGATTTATTTGTTTTGTTTTAGTTCCTTATAAGTTACTTATTATGTATTCTGATGTAGTGGTTTGCCTGCCCGTACTCTGCCTTGTGCCCTGTCCTGTTTTTCTTTGGGGTCCTCCTGGGCTCCTTGCCGCTGGCGCTTGTTGCTGGGTCGGGTGGGGGCTGCGTTCATTGAATGCCGCCTTTCCTTGTCGATCTTGTTTATCATATTTGAGTAACTGGATGCGAAGGTGCCGGAATTGTTTGTTTTTCAGTAGGTGAAATGAATGATTTAATGAGTCTCCATCAGTCTCTCTGCGATGTGTTGTTTGATGTAAGTATGTCTGAAAGTTTCTGAATGTAGTAATGTTTGGCGGTGTAAATAAGCGAGACGATTTTATTATTTAATTGTTTGAATGAGTGCCAGTGCATAGGATTTTAAGCTTTCTTGGCTCTATGATAAAGTTTTTTTTGCGTTTTCGAATAAACTGTTTGATTTCTGTCGTTATCCATTCTGCATCGGTTTGTTCATTAAACGGCGCCTTTCCTTGTACATCTTGTTTACTATATTTTATCATTATTGATTTTGTATGGACTGCTTTGAAAGGTCGATGATTTTGCTGCTTACTAAAGTTGCGTTTTCATCCTTGTCGTTGTTTGAATATTGTTGCTAGTCAGTTTGCATGATGCTTTGTTTCAGGGAGTTGTAGTTGCATATATAGCTTTATAAAACGTTTGAAAGATCCTGACTTAGGTTTAGAGAATACAAAAGAGCAAATATAGGGCAGTGGTAGCAAAGAATTTGGCCTAGAACTGGCTCCCCAACACTTGAAGTTATTACTGGATGACTACAAGAAACAAGAACAAGATCCAAAACAGAGGCTGACGTCTCGGTATAATGTGTAGGTTCGTTAATTAGTTGCTCAAGGTGAAATTGTTGACAAATTGAAAGAAGTTTGCGTAATAATGTAGGATAAGATGGATTTAAGTTAAAATCTCCAGTAACAATGATATCTGATATATCTGTTTCTACTGCCAAGTTTAGAGAGTGTTCCATAAGAGCTGTATAATGTGAATCTGCACTTGGTGGTCATTAAAAATACCTAGCAAAATACGTTTAGATTTAGGTAGAATAATCTCCACTCATACACATTCTATATTTCTAGGTTCGAGATCCATTCGCCATTTGTAAAATAGTAAATTCTTAACGTACTAACATACTCAATTCATTGGTTAGAATTTCAATTTTGCTTAGCAGACTTTTAACATTATATTGAAGGACAGATAAACAGGAACTTGACGACATTAGACTTGCTAGGTCCAGAGACATAGACGACGTAGTGGACAATGATTCAGTTGAGGAATTTGTTGACGATGGACCAGGATAAAGTAAGAACAATATGCAGCCATTGAATACACAAATTTTAACGAGAACAACGATGAGTAGATAAGTAAACGCTACATTGTGAATGAAGCACTCATAGCATGAAAGGGATCGTCTGTGTGGATATTTAATGTTGTATTAAACTTGATTCCTTATGTGAAGAGACAGTGAGTATGTAAGAATCATGTTTGGAGCAATGTGTAGAAGAACAAACATATTCAGTAAGAGGGAAAATTTCCATGTACAAGAGTATGAGTGCATGAGATTTATTCACTATGTAATTGATGTTAGAAACAACAAAAAGCGCGCCGTCACTATCATGCCTCCGAGTATATTAATTATTAGCATCCGAAGCATTCCATTTACAATATTCCGAATAGATGTCCCTAGGGAAAAAGAAGAGTGAATATAAAGGGAGAAAATGAGTTTGAGGAAAAACAAAAGAAAACAAGATGTAATAAAGGGACAATTTAAAGATACATTAACAATATAAAAGGACCAAAAAGTGCACTGAAATCATAAGCTATGATGAAAGAAGTGTGCATACTTTGAAAAGCCTCCTGATGTTATGCAAAAAGCATGGTTATAAATTTTAAATTATATTTCAAAGTTTAATCATATTGTACTATATACATATCATTTAAATATCAGTTACATCAGCTCTTACAGTTATTGAAAAAATGTTGTACTACAATGTTTTATATATAAATAGCAAGAGGTAGTAATATGTTTAAATCAAAAACATGATAAAGCAAACTACATATTTCGATATGCAAAAAGAAAGATATTTAAAAAGTCGTGTCAATATCATCCTTAAAATAAAAGGAATAATAAGAGTGACAATTTTCAAAAAGTATATCAATATTTTATCAAAGAAACTATTTCTTGAAAAGAGACACAAAAATATTACCAATTGAAAGGAAAGTTAGCTAGAAACATATACATATGCTTATAAGTGCATATAAGCTATACTATTAATTGATTTTACATCAACTATATGACTAGTATGTCATTGAAGTTATCTAAATTATCTTTATTTTACGATAAGATTTTCACAAGTAAAGCAAATAAACATACAAACAAGCACACATATGCACAAAAACATACAGTATACAACAGTATACATATGCGCACACATTTACATATGTACACATAAGCGCGTACATATGTACACATATACTTGCATTCATGTTAAAGCTTAACCGTATTGATTTAAACATATGAAACATTAATAAAAATTTTATTGTAGTATAAATTGCTCATTTACCAATGAAATTTTTATCATATTCCTTTGAGTTTTCTAAAACATCACTGATATAGATATTATTCAAGATAGTAGATCACATCGCGATGTATATTCAATCTTATTTTTACAAGAAAAAAGAACAACTGTAAAGAACAAATAACTTGGTAAAAAGTTAAAGCTGAAAAATGAATAAAATCTTAATATTATCATATTCGTTTGAGTTTTCTAAAACATCACTGATATAGATGTTATTAAAGTAGTAGATCACATCGAGATGTATATTTAATCTTAGTTTCTTATAAGAAAAATGAACAACTTTAAAGAACAAGTAAGTTGGTAGAAGGTTAAAGCTAAAAAAATAAACAAAATATAATTCTCGTTATAACTAATATAGTTTCTTTTATATGATAATCGCAATTACAAGCTGTTTTTATATAATTATATGAACGTGATGTGTCTAGATAACATTTTTTTCGGATTTCTAAACTGGAATGACAAGATGGTTGATAAATAGTTTAAAAATTCTATTTAAATGCACATATATACACTTCATATTATCTACAGTATTAGTCTACTGACTTAAACATAGTGCAATTCAGATATAGAACATAGAAACCGTTAAAACGAAGAATAAAATGAAAATAGTTTTGGAATGTCACGCACGATATTCACGGGATTACCCTAATTGTTACGAGTAGAAGTAGCTTTTTACAATTATCATTTCATCAGTGTTCCAAGCGCCGAGAATTGCTTTACTTTTTAACAAGTTGACGTGCTTCATATAGAAGTTCCGATCTAATTTTAGTTAAATCTTCATAATCATAATCTTTTCGTGTGGCTTTTAGTCTTCAACAGAGCACGCTTCTTGAGAAGTTTGTCTCTTTCAAGAACGACGAGATACGAACTTAACCAGGATATCGTGCGGTTTTCTAGATGATCTAGGTTTACCGAGTCGATGTGAAACAGCTTTTTCATTTAAGCTTAAGTCAGCACCAATGCTCGTGCTCATGTCAAGTATGATTTGGTCGGCATTTTCGTATTTGTTTTTTTTATATTGCGGTGATATGCAGATTATCACGGCGACTATATTGTTCTGCAGCGCCGGCTCTCAGTTCGAGTACGTCAATTCGGGTAGATAAGGCTACGTCTAAAAATAACTGATATGTGATAAGCTTAAACACTATGTATTGTGTTGATACTTTAAGCCAGTGATCCTTAACTGGTGCTCATATACCACTAGCAATATGTTGTCTCGATTTATAATCATTTTAGTTTTACAAAAGCGACTTAACTTGATACGCGCAGTAAAAGTAAACAATAATATGATTTTAAGAAAATGTTCAAAACACTAGTTCATCAAAAAGAATTCGTAATACAGCTGTAGATGTTTGAAAGAAAATGTAATTTCAATAAATGTGTCGTCTTAAATCATTTAAAACATCAAGGAAACTTGGTAATGGATATGATGTTCTGACACTAACTTTGCTATTAACAACGTAAAAACAACATGCTATCATTTCTACAACTTCTAGGTTGCCATGCTGAGACAGGTCTATTTGGTGTTTTTTACAAGCGGGACCATCACATTTTATTTCTGATATGCTTAGTGACTTTAAAGAGACAGCGCTGGATAAAGCTGAGGCTAGCTTATCACCGGCTTCATGTTTTAAATTACTTTCTGATATGGAAAATGACACAAGAGATTTTACGTTCTCAGCTGAACCCAAGCAACATACAAAATAGTTGAGATTAACTGTCTGTAGCAAGGTATTTTGTGACAGATCTAATGAATGATCATCATATTCGTCACCACCGTATGTTGCCAAAGTGAGATGCTTAAGGTTCTTCGCGCTTGGTACTAATTTGCAAAGTTCTTCATGGTAATCTGACGAGTCGTGACCAAATGAGTCCATTATGAAAAGAGACTCTAAGTTAATAGGAAGTTTTTCACAGTCAATTTCGAAGCAACAGACTTTCTCAAAATGAATCCGCACAAGTTTATTGTGATTTGTCAAAGAAAGAATATGTGTAGGACAATATTCTAAATTATTACAAATTGGTCCAATCATATCGGGGTTGTTATATGTTCTATCATACATAATCAACTCTTGCAAAGAGACTAATTTTTCTATTGATTCAAACAGGTTATCTAACTCTTCACATGAGATTTCCTCAGTAAATATGCATATAACCTGCAAATGATGCAATAGCGCAATCCATTTGCAAACATCCTCTGGAAGGTAGGTTAAACTGTAACTACAAAGTGACAGTACTTTTTCTGGGTCAATTTTGTGTAGGAATGATAAATTAGTATCGATATTAATTGTGATGTCAGATAAGCTTAAAGTGGTTTGCTGTGTCTCTTGTGCATCATCACAGTATAAGGCCCAATCTTCTAAAAGCATTTGGATCATCTCCGGTTCTCTAATATCGTTGTGAGGTAAGGTTTTCCTATAATCCACAAATGAAACATCTTGATGAACAACTTCGTATACATGTTCTGTTATTTCCCTCAAAAGATTTGGTGCCAAATAACAAATCGTTTCAACAACTTTTGACATTCGTAGGATATCTGCTATTGACTTGAACGCCGTGAAAAACTCATGCAACGCTGTTTGTTTGCTGAGTCTTCGTGCTTTGCATGGCGGTGGGCCTTTACTTTTGGGAAATGAAGTAACATAAATAGCAGCGAAGAATTCTAGATATGACCTGTGTATAAAGGTAAAGCTTGTCGTTTCAAGGGACGGATCAATTTTTGTCTGCTCCTCTATGAAACCAGTTCTTGTAAGTAAATTGATGTCATTTTTTGAAAAGCCACATTCAAGTAATTTTAATCGACCAAATATACATGTTGATGTGTCTGCGGTCAGTTCGTCAAATGCAAGCTTACCTAAACTCAAAATAGACGACTTGTTTGCTTGACATCTAGGCAACTGTCTTAACTTGTCAGGAAGTTCCATGTCTTCTATCGCTCTATATTGAACAGTATCTTCGTCAGTTGAATCATTTTCATCTTTGCTTTGATTCCAACCGAACAAAATGTTAACAAGATTACAATTAACTTCTGGGACACACGTTCCAAGTTCCTTTTCCTGACAAAACATCCACACAAGTTGTTGAATAAGCAAAGGTTTGAGGTCGACATGTTCGAAGTTATCCCTGATCTTGCCCATAAAACCGCGTACTGTCAAGTTGTTCCTATTTTGCAGTTTCATATAATTTGACGCTAATTCCTCAACTGATTCCTTATCAACTCCCTGTAAATTGATTTTCATGTCGTATTCTGATGACTTCAAGTTCAAAATTCCCTTTGCAGAGGGTCTGGAAAATGTTACAAATGTAGCGTTCTTCAGCCCGCTTCCATTTGGAATGCCATAGCTTACATGCTGAGGACAAGGGTTGTTTTTTGGTGGAGTCCATTCATCTAAGCCATCAATCAAAATGCAGCATTCATGCGATTCTTTCTCAAATAAAGTGCAAATAAGATCATTTGAAAGAATGTCTTTGTACATCTCTTTAATCATTTCAAGTACATCAATACTAAAACCTGACATTCTAGACAAAGGAATGAAAAACAGGAATTTAAAGAACTTCATTTCTTTGATATTTTCCTCTTCAAGTGCCATTCCTAACGGATGTTGAATGTTTTCTATGCCAGTTACGAGTTTCTCTGTTTCTCGGTATGATGTACACCAATTATGTATCATCATTTTGCTAAAAGAGCTTTTACCTGTCCCAGCATCACCAACAATGTAAATTCTTTTATATCTTGATTCATTATTATGAAAAATGTCTTTGTATCCGTTTACGACTTTACATTCTGAGGTTTTGTCTCTCGAATGTGTTGTTGCCTTTGTGTCGTTCTTTGTATTCGTCTGCCTCTCATACAATACTGACGTAGTTGTTTCAGTATGTGTAGTTATTTTTGTATTTTTTGATACCTTCTTTTCTTGCTTGATAAGGGGGTTAACATATACTTGCGATATATTGATATCATCTTCATTTGTTTTCAATGGTGATACACTAGTTCTTTGATAAAATTTCTCGTATCGATTAAAAAGCTCTCGCTGAAATACTGAAATTTAAAAAGAAATGCATAAATCTTCTTATTTAGTATTTTGCAATAAATTATAATTGTAAAGATTAAAGAAATATGTCTGCGTTAAAAATTAATAAGAAATAGCATATTCTTCTTCAATACTGAGGTAACTTGAGGACAATTTCAAACAATATGTTTCACGCAAATAATGTATTAATTTAACAAAAATGAATAAAGATACCTTGTTTCTGTTCAACGTATTTCAAGTTCGATACACATTTATCGCGTGTGGCTTTTAATGTATCTAAGGTTGTGTCTATATCTGTAAGCCGCTGAAAATAAAATCGGAGAAATACTCAATATTTTATTATCATTTAAAAACTTTCAAGCAATGATGTTATTACTTATAAATCATGAAGTTTCTGATAACTTTTAAGTTTTTAAAACGATAAGAAGCGCAGGTGTATCTTTTTCGGATAAATGCTGGCTTGTATAAGCAAAAGGAGAACATTTGTTCTCCTCTTGTACTTTGATATTATCTTTTTAAATCAGAATAATTATTATTAAGTTATTATTCTAGTGACAACCAAATATGACCATTGAATAATTTGCGTTGGTCATTATAATATGATGATACCTTGCTATTTATGGAAGAGACTTTAAATTCGTCAATGGATGCAATTTATTAAGCACATAACTAGAAATAGGGAAGCCCCCACACTCCACTGATTTGTCAGTCTACTGACGTACAACATGGCAGTATGTCATAGGGACAAACAAATAGCTCAAATATCTTTTAGTTACGCAAGACAAAAGTTGAATATTGAAAAACGTGCAAATCAAGGGCAATAACACTACAAATACTAAATAAATCCACGAGCAAACGCCTTTAGTGAGTAACTAGAAATGTTGACCATATTTATGTTAGGGTTTGTGACTTTATGGCTACATTTTTAGCTACGTGTAACACAAGTTGTCAAAAATGTTATAAGATTCATTCTACCTGAATAATTACTGCATTTTCTGATTTCAGGTGTTTAACTGTTTCCACTAACACTTCTATTGTTTGTTTCATCGTTTCGATCTGGCTATCATTTTTTTTCTCCAGTCTGTCTAAAGCATTTTCAGTTGCCTTCTTTGACTTCTCGTCAATGTTTTGTAGTGCTTCTTCAACCCCCTTTTTAATGTCATTTCTTGCTTCATCAACAGTGGATTTAATTTTTGCAGCTTCTTTCGTTATCGAATCTAACGCAGATCGGCACGCTTCAGCCTCTTCGTGAGTAGATATTACAAAATGTCGTTGCTTAAGCTTTGAATAGAAAACGTATTATCGTTTATATCTATCTTACAGTTTTAATGAACTCCCTTTGGTGTTCTTAATTGTCAAAATTTAGCATAATAATAATGATAGTTCAAGTTTCAAGTTCAAGTTTATTGTAATGTAATTCTAGGCCATCGGCCCAAATACACAATATAATAACAGAAAGATACAATTACATCTGATTGTGTCACAAGTTATGAAAAACAAAATAGTAGCATATTCCATAATTTTTAACATTGTACAACAAGGTAGAGAATATACATATTACCACAACCCTTAATGTAAAACACGCAGTATCAAGTTCCGAAAATGAAAAAAAAAATAAAAAAAAATACAAAAACTAGTCCTATTAATGCATGAAAAAAAGAAAATCAGCAACTTATCTTCGGGATAATTGATGCCAGCACTATTTAGTGCTGAAAATTGAGTACCGCTCAAGTCGGTGCTAGGGGGCGTGAGGGATGTTGCACTTAATCATTATCCCTCATGTACAGACTCATCAAACCGAGTCTGCAATTCTTATGTAATTTTGTTGTGATTTATGCTTCCGAGGGATCACTTTGTTACCAGATGTTTTTATTTAGCGTTTAACCTCATTTGACCCCCACCGGAACGCCTCAAATCTGGGTTCAACACGGAATTTATCGATTAAGTTGAATGAAACAATATTAAGAGAGACTCTGTCGAGCGAAATATTATTTATTCACCGAATTTAATAATTTAAAATTTAACTTACGAAAATATAATATTTGTTTTAATAAGGACGGTTTAAAGCAGCACGCCTCCAGATTCATGTTACTTTTCATGAATATTTTGGAAATGTTTTAAAAGTCAAATATTGTGAGATGAACAAAAATAGTAATTGACATATTGCAATCGGCACTTCCAATCCAAGAAAATAGCCAAAAACTATATGCAAAATGATATTCAAAAATATCCCTAACTGCGTTATTAACGCAGTAGAAAAATGTTATAGAATACTGCAAAATCAGTCTTAAACGGCCAGAACATGAATTTTTTTAACTTGGATCTGGAATGTTTTTACTTTCTTAAAATTTCAGTACATTTTTCTCAATATTGATTTTCTTGAAATATTTTAGCTCATCTGGAGGCTTGCAGCTTTAAAGGCCAAACGAATAATTTTCCATTGACGCGCCAAATATGTAAAATTAACATTTAGTGCGTTTTCGCACTTTGTTCATATTACGCAAATGACGTCATGTCAAAATATATGCACAGCCGTGCAGTACCATTATTATTGAGTCGCAAAATCGGTACGGGTATGTGATAAATGTAAGTTAAAAATATTTGGGTTTTTCAACATTTTCCCCATTGTGTATTTTAAACAAAACGCCCGACCCACCACAAAGGAAAATACGGTTATTGATTGTATGAAGATACATTGACCTAGTTCTCGCTTAGAATTTTACCAATGCCACTTCGTCATGATAAGGCAGGGCGACTACCTTCAGTTTACACATACGCGGACTTGAAAAATAAATAACACAACTGGCCTGTCTATCGAAAAAGGAACGACTTCATTCGTCAGCAAATGATGTTGAACACTTTAAAAGGTTACGATTTAAGTTTAATGATAAAGTTTAATCTAATATTTTATAGATGGTTACAAAAGTTTTACAAATGAAAACATGCAAATGCGAAAATAAAGGGATTAAAATCGAAATAATTATCAAAATAAAAAAAAACAACATGTTACTTTTTTACTTAAAAATATGTTGATTTTCGTACTTACTTCTAGTAAGTTGACAACAGCTTGCTTTGCTTCTGGCCTTGCTTTTAGTTCTTGATCGTCTTCAAGAATTGATATTATGTCATCAATGCACTCAATCATTTCATTTTCTTCTAGCTCCATTTCCGGTGAGTGAAATATACCGTTCCGTCGCTGTCTTGTCTAATGAAAATACAATGATAAGGTGATGACTTTAATAGTTCATTAGTGAATGCAAGCTATGTTTATCACATTGGCATTTTAACGTGTTAAATAGTTTACCGTTAACTATTATTCTGCTTCACTTACAACAATTTAACAATTGGAATATTTTCATATTTAACTCCTTACTCATTTCTAAACAGTCAAGTAAAGCTGATGGGGTTCAAAAATATTATTGTTCCTTTTTGCAACGAAATTTTAAAGTTATAGCCCAGTGATTTAAAATTTAAAACCGTGCTATAGATTAGAAAGGTTATGGTAAGTTATTTGTTTAAGTTAATTAGCTTACCTTACTTAAACAATCTGATCCTGTAATTACACATGTCATGTGGGAGTGAAAATTTGTGTTGTTGATGAATAAATGAAGTAGCCCAGAGGCATCAATGTCGGTGGCTGATGATTTGTCTGTGTAACCAGGCGCATTAATAAAACATTTCGCGATTTCCCAGGGAGAAGAACACCATTTCTGTACATCTGTGTTCTTCCAGTTTGGAGCGGGAGGAGTTGATCCGTGACTGTTCAAAATGTCTTCAAATACAGCATCACAAAAATTGTTTGGACATGGAATCTTGTTTTGCCGCAAACAGTTACAGTTATTCTGACTCCGGGGGCAAATGCTTCTCCCGCTACTAAGATCCTTTTTATGCACAGGCTTCAAATCCCTGAAATTGCATTGATTGCATGTGTTTCGATGTGCACTAAGAATCCTCTGATGCTCTGCCACAACCAAATAATCAGCAAAACCTTTTAAACCGCATTTTAGATATTTGTATGCAAGTACACCTCTGACCCAGTTTCTATATTTTGTGTTTCTGAGATCACTTTCAAGATTCATCGTAATAATTTCCCTCTGTAATAAATCCGTTTATGTAGAATCATAACAAAACTATCATGTCGTCTGTTTACCGTTTAAAGTATAAATGATATTTTCTATCGTAATATAATTTCCGTTTAAAATATTGATTCAAATTCACGATCAAAATAGTGTTTATATGAAAATAAAGGCTGGTTGTTAGGATCGAATTACCAGTTATGAAAAGCAACGTGTATAATGTCCTGTTTGTACTCCTTTGTTAGGATTCATTAGGTAATCATACATGACGTTTTAGCTTTGCAGCTATACAGGATTTTGAAAGAGTATAAATTCAATACTAAATTTATTGAACGAATAATGTAAAAGTATTTTATGCACGCATCGTTCGAGCATAATCTAGTTTAATAAAGTAAGGAATGAATTTACACGAATATAATATTCTATTTATCACATAACCAAGGAACAGTTTGCAGTGAAAAAAAAATCCCTTTCTGTTTATGACTTTTTTGCATGGCCGTGAAGTAGTCTAGCGGGCTAACAGTGTGAACTGAGCGGGCTAGCAATCTAGCGGGCTAACAGTGTGAACTGGGCGGGCAAGCAGCCTAGCGGTCTAACAGTGTGAACTGGGTGGGCTAGCAGTCTAGCGGGTAACAGTGTGAAATTAGCGGGCTAGCAGTCTAGCGGTATAGCTGTGTGAACTGGGCGGGCTGGCGGACTAAACTCTAAAACTAAACTGATTCAACATGAAAAGGTTATGATACATTACCTGGCAGTGTGAAGTGGGCGGGCTAACAGTGTAGCTGGCTAGCAGTGTGAACAGGGCGGGCTGGCGGGACAGCGGGCTAAACTTAAATTCTTAATTGAATGAATATGAAAACGTTATGATACATTTCCTAGCAGTGTGAAGTGGAGTGTGAACTGAGCGGATTGGCGGGCCACCGGGCAAAACTTTAATACTTAATTGAATCAACATGAAAACGTTATGAAACATTTCCAAGCAGTGTGAAGTGGGCGGGCTAACAGTGTAGCGGGCTAGTAGTGTGAACTCGCCGGGCTGGCGGGCCAGCGGGATAAACTTTAATACTTCATTGAATTCACATTAAAACCTCATGATACATTTCTTAGCAGTGTGAAGTGGGCGGACTGACAGTGTAGCGGGCTAGCATTGTGAACTGGACGGGCTGGCGAGCCAGCGAGATAAAAGTTAATACTTAATTGAATAAACATTAAAACCTTATGATACATTTCCTGGCAGTGTAAGCTCGGCGAGCTTACAGTGTAGCGAGCTAGCGGTACAAATTCAGCGTGCTAGTAGTATAGTGGTCTAAACTTAGTTATTTTAACACTAAAACGTTATGATGCATTTGCTAGCAGTGTGAAACCAAAACTGTTATAATTCAAGCCCAGCCAATTCCACGTAAAATCCCCATATAGTGAGGAAACTCTGATGGTACACGTGTCGGTATTGGTATGCCGTCGCTTTGTGGTTTTTCACAGTTTGACATTCGTAATAAGATTTGTGAAAATAGTGCAGGAAGTATAGAAGATGGCCCATTTCAGAAGCATACCTGGATCTTTTATGTGCCCGGTGTAAAGCACCGATACACGGGACCTCGGTTTAAAGTCCCATCCGAAAGACTGTTGGTAATGTTAGGGAGGAGCGGGGGATCGAACTCAAACCCCTGGATTATATATATGTATTAACAACCAGACCACAGATCCGCTCCTAAATAAATCGCTTGATTCCTAGATGTTCTTATATTTATGGACAAGCTCCTGTCATTGTACGAAATATACAGCTATGTATGTACCTCTGGTGCATCTTCTGCTTCACTAAATGAGGTTCTACATATGATTGCCCTACTAAAATATTAGTGTTGCAGTGTGTTTTTTTTCTGTTTCAGTTACGATTGTCGTTTTTTTTCTGTATGTAATACATCATTTGGTGTACATTTAGTGTACATATTTGTGACAATTCTCAAGGATCGTGTATACAATATGAAACAAGCATTGTTAGCCCGCGGAGTTCACACTACTAGCAAATGCATCATAACGTTTTAGTGTTAAAATAATAAAGTATGGAATTTAGATAACTAGACTGCTAGCACGCTGAATTTGTACCGCTATCCCGCTACACTGTTAGCTCGCCGAGCTTACATTGCTAGGAAATGTATCATAAGGTTTTAATGTTTATTCAATTAAGTATTAACGTTTAGATCGCTGGCCGGCCAGCCCGTCCAGTTCACAATGCTAGCCCGCTACACTGTTAGCCCGCCCACTTCACACTGCTAGAAAATGTATCATAACGTTCTCATGTTGAATCAGTTAAGTTTAACAGTTAAGCCCGCTGGCCCGCCAGCCCGTCCAGTTCACAATGCTAGCCCACTACACTGTCAGCCCGCCCACTTCACACTGCTAGGAAATGTATCATAACGTTTTCATGTTGAATCAGTTAAGTTTTACAGTTAAACCTGCTGGCCCAGCCCGCCCAGATGACACAGCTAGCCCGCTACACTGTCAGCCCGCCCATTTCACACTGCTAGGAAATGTATCAGGAGGTTTTAATATGGATTCAGTTAAGTATTAAAGTTTAGCCCGGTGGCCCGCCATCCCGCCCATTTCACACTGCTAGCCCGCTACACAGTTAGTCCGCCCACTTCACACTGCTAGGAAATGTATCATGGGGTTTTAATGTTGATTCAATTAAGTATTAAAGTTAAGCCCGCTGGCCCGCCAGCCCGCTCAGTTCACACTGCTATCCCGCTACTACACTGTTAGCCCGCCCACTTCACACCGCTAGGAAATGTATTATAACGTTTTAATGTTAATTCAATTAAGTACTGTATTCCTAGAAAAGATTTCGCGCATTTTAAGTTAGCGCTTTTCGCGGTAGGCATGATTACGCGAATCTTTATAGCCGCGAATATGTCACTTATAACAAATTCGCGAACATTTATAGCTTCAACCAAATAAAAACATAAACGTTCCAAATATTTATTATAATCTACTTACACAATAACATATAGACACAGGTGCTATAGAAATGTGTAAAAAATTATGTAAAGTTCATCTCCTTACTAAACCACCACATGTTAAGTTGTAATCCATATTTACATTTCAATTTACCTATAATGCACATTACAAAACAAACAAAAAAACATGAAAAAAATGGCAATTATTAGTAATTACTAGTATCACACTTATTCACATTCTTTGCTAGTCACAGCGTATACAAAGCATTTACAGTTTGCGTACATTAAATGACTTGGATCTGATTTGCTTGGAGAAGGTGTAATCCTTTGTTTAAAGTACAATAGCTACATTGATAAACAGCTGTTATGTTGTTATAATGAAAGCGATGTACAGACCAATACTGTTGAAGTAGCACAACATAACCGTTATATAAATCCAGACGTCTGGACCGGGGGAAAAACAAAAAACAAAACCGGGAAATTTCCTGCTACCTTTGAGTAATACACTTGTTCTAGTTTATAGATTTTAAGGTCAATCATGAATTGCTGAATTATTTATGTGACGTTCATAAATGGAAAATCAAATACATGTAGGTTAATACCGTAGCCTAAAAAAGCTGTAATTTAGGCCGTAGCGACTTAATATTCGCGGAATTCGCGGTTACTACAATTCCGCGAAAGTTTGTCTCCGCGAAAATGCCGACGTTGTGTAAAACGCGAAATATTGTATCCGCGAACATTTCTAGGAATACAGTATTAAAGTTTAGCCCGCTGGCCCGCAAGCCCGCCCATTTCACACTGCTAGCCAGCTACACTGTTAGGCCGCCCACTTCACACTGCTAGGAAATGTATCTTAACGTTTTCATGTTGATTCAATTAAGTATTAAAGTTTAGCCCGCAAGCCCGCTCAGTTCACACTGCTAACCCGCTACACTGTTAGCCCGCCCACTTTACACTGCTAGGAAATGTTTCATAACGTTTTCATGTTGATTCAATTAAGTATTAAAGATTAGCCCGCCAGCTTGCTCAGTTCACAATGCTAGCCCGCTACACTGTTAGCCCGCCAACTTCACACTGATAGGAAATGTACCATGAGGTTTTAATGTTGATTCAATTAAGTATTTAAGTTTAGCCCGCTGGCCCGCCAGTCCGCCCAGTTCAAACTGCTAGCCAGCTATACTGTTAACCCGCCCACTTCACACTGCCAGGTAATGTATCATAACGTTTTCATGTTCAATCAGTTAAGTATTAAAGTTAAGCCCGCTGACCCGCCAGCCCGCCCATTTCACACTGCTAGCCAGCTACACTGTTAGTCCGCCCACTTCACACTGATAGGAAATGTATCATAACGATTTCATGTTGATTTAATTAAGTATTAAAGTTTAATCCGCTGGCCCGCCAGTCCGCTCAGTTCACACTGCTAACCCGCTACACTGTTAGCCCGCCCACTCTGCTAGGAAATGTATCATAACGTTTTCATGTTCATTCAATTCAGTATTAAAGTTTAGCCCGCTGGCCAGCCAGCCCGCCCAGTTCACACTGCTAGTCAGGTACACTGTTAGCCCGCCCACTTCACACTGCTATGAAATATTTCATAACGTTTCCATGTTGATTTAATTTAGTATTAAAGTTTAGTCCAATGGCCCGCAAGCCCGCTCAGTTCACACTGCTAGCCAGCTACACTGTTAGCCCGCCCACTTCACACTGCTAGGAAATGTATCATGAGGATTTAATGTTGATTCAATATTAAGTATTAAAGTTTAGCCCACTTGCCCGCCAGACCGCTTAGTTCACAACTGCTAGCCAGCTACATTGTTAGCAACGCCCACTTCACACTGCTAGGAAATGTATCATGAGGTTTTAATGATGAATTCAATTAAGTATTAAAGTTTAGCCTGCTGGCCCGCAAGCCCGCTCAGTTCACACTGCTAGCCAACTACACTGTTAGCCCGCCCACTTCACACTGCTAGGATATGTATCATAAAGTTTCATGTTGAATCAGTTAAGTTTTAGTGTTTATTCCGCTTTCCCGCCACCCCGCCCAGTTCACACTGCTAGACCGCTTAACTGTTATCCCGCCCAGTTCACACTGTTAGCCCGCTAGACTGCTATCTCGCTCAGTTCACACTGTTAACCCGCTAGACTGCTAGCCCGCTCAGTTCACACTGTTAGCCCGCTACACTGCTAGCCCGTTACCCCGCGTACTTCATGGCCATC